GGGGGGAAAAAAGGATCTTTGTGGTAAACAGGACCATGGAAGGGATCACTGAACTAGGAGGTGGGAGAGACAAGCTGTTAAGGTCCAGTTTAGTTCAGTTCTTTGCCTCAGTGCTGGTGGCCGTGCAGGGAACTTGCATTTCCAGGAGGGGTTTTCCAGGGCTCCAGGAGCCACGTCTGTCTTGAGTGTATAATTTGTTTTTGGCTTTATGGTGATTCTCATCTTCTTGAGCAGAAGTGAGATTTGGGGCAGGAGGCTACCTAGAGAGTGGTCTACCTTGCCCAGCAGTTTCTTGAGGTCCTCTTAGCTGCAAATCCCAGGTTAATGGTGGAGAAGGAGGAGGACAATTATCTTATGGTCCTAAAACAAGTTACCAACCAACTCAAGCATCTATCTCTACCAACAGTTAAAATGGCACAGTGGAGAAGTACAGGGGTCAGCAAGGTTTGACCTAAGCTTATTTAGACTGGAATATGGCAATAGTTTCCCAATGACAAGCATAGAAATTAATCTCCTAAAAGAGCTCTGGTAGGCCAGCAGCCTAGGAATCTGTTTTGCTTGTGAGGGAGATTGCATTCATTTACTCAGCAAACATTTATTAAGTGTATAGTGCTGTGCACAGTGCTGTTTTAAATACAAGTGTAAGCATAAGAAATTGCTCCTGCCTTTGAGGTGCTTGCAGTCTAGAAGGGGGAGATAAGGTATATACAAATGAACTGTCAGAATGATTATAGTTTTAGCAATTAAAATAGAATGATAGAATAAAAATGCATGTGGCAAAATGAATGATTACTTTTTATATCTAACTGTATTTTGAGAAAATCCAAAGTGTTGTTATGATGATCTGACTATGTATTGTGATATAAATATCCTTGCTGCGTTTTCTCACTGATCTAGGTCATATTAACATTTTCCTTTATAAAAAGGAAACACTGAGGGACTGGGGTGTGTAGAACATACCTTTTAGTCCCCAACACCAATAAAGAATAGAAAGATAAAACTACATACTGGTATATGAAGGATTTTTCATTGTAACATAGTAAAATGGAATTTGATTTTATCAAATGAGCAACCAAATAGTGACGTGATGTTTCCTGCTTTCTTTTCGATCTCAGGAAAAACTGATAGATTCACTTAGTAAAAAAATTAATCAAGTATATAAAGTCTGCATTGGAGATGCTGAGGTTGGCAGCCTGAATGCAGTTCAAAAGCTGGTCAAAGTAGAGTCTCGACTGGTGGAACTGAGCGACCTCATCGAATCCATCCCCAAAGAAAGTGTGGATGCAATCGAGAGAATAAAACAGAAGGAGAGGCGACAAAAGTATAGTCACTGCTTATGAGTATATTGTTAATGAGAGACTGCTTTTGCTTGGATTGCACATTGAGCAAATCTCAGATGGCAAGGATGCCACACAGAGATGCACTGAAGGGGTCAAATCCAGCCTTACCAGCCTCACAGAACTATTATTTGGTGTGGGAGACACTTACATCACATATTCTTAGGAAATAGATGTTCTTATTACCAATGGTAATAAGCACTATGAAGGAAAGAAGCCC